ATAACATTTTTAAGATACATTTAAGTGATATAAAACATATTTTGACACTTACATTTTTTCGTTACATAACTTATCCTGTTAAAAATCTTTATCACAAATACATATGTTTTGAGAAAAGCACCAGTACCCTATTATTTGTATTAAACTTCAAAATACTATACAAACAAAAAACGTATGTCTATTTTTAACATTAATTTACAGACAATTTATTTTTGATAATAAAATTTTGTGAAATATTTTCTACACTTAATAGTTTAATATCTATTTAAATCACGTAGTATATCAAATAAAATGTTTTTGTTTTGCGGCTATAATTTTATTATATATAATATAAATTATTTTTTATACATTAATTTTGTAGTATTGTTAAATAAAATGTAGTTTTCATAAATAACTAGTTAAATAATATATTCTAAAAAACTAAATAATATATAAAAAATAAATAATCACACTTAATTTTTACACCCAAAATAATTGTTTTCATATTAAAAACAATAACTGTTTTTATTTTGCTCAATAGTTGTTACAGAATAAAGTATTGTAAAATAAAAAAAAGCACAATTTATTTAATGACATTTTTGTTCAATGATATTGTAAAAGAAAATATTTTAATTATTTGACTGTAAATAGAAATTAAAATTTCAATAGCATAAATTTAATAAAATAAAATAATAAGATATACAGTATCTAATTTTATAACGAGTAAACTTATAATAAATAACAATTAATATATAACTTATTAAGTATGAAACATTAAAATACAAATTCAAAGTTAAATCTCTAAATAATAGAAAAATTAAAATTTTTAAAAATCATAAAAATAAACCAAAGTGATAACCATTACACAAAAATGTTCAATAAATCAATGTCCACCTACCGGGCCTAACTTTCTAATCAAATCTGGGGGCACATTCCTAACCGACCACATAACATAACAAAATGATACAATAGCCACACACATGGCACCAAACTCTAAAAACACAAAAGTATTAGGGTGATGCTCCACATACTTACCGATAAAATAGGGTAAAAACATATAAATGGCATTATAGGACCCTATGAATAAACCCCCTATTTTATCGGTCACCTCCATGTACTGGCCCACAAACGAGAACAGGCATATGAATATGGAACTGTAGCCAAAACATATTACTATAGAACTGGCCATTAGTGTGCCATACGTGTGTTGACCGAAATACTGGAAAATAATGCCCACAAACACGATGACGGACTGGTATGCGATCATGTGCTCGGGTTTTAGGTACATAGCTATGAAAATGCTAAGACCCCGACCCGTGGTCAGGGCTATGCCTATAATGGAGAACATCTGGGAGGCCTCGGCGGCGGACAGTTTGGTCGGACAGAACTGGTAGAAAGTGGGCGCGAAGTCCATATACATGTTCTCAGACATGATGCCAAAGGCCAGGTATAGGGAGATGCAGACGACTATGGTTTTGGTGGGCACGTACTGCCGGTGCCGGGCCTTCTGCTCTTCAGTGACCGCCACTTCGATTTTGTTGTCGTGAACGAAGTGGTACTTATGGAGCACATACATCACTAACATCGCACCGGGACCTGTAGGTCAGTGGGAACACGGATTTTAGTGAATATATCATAATAATGGTTTAATTGGAATTTAATTATTTTAAATAAATATTTATATAATTCTTGAGTTATTTATGTGTTAATAATTATTAATGATGTTAAGTTTGATATTTAATAAGCTTTTATATAAAAAACTAAAAAAAGTTTTTTTTGTAATTACAGTACATTTAAAAATTTTAAGTAAAATTGCAGGCGTGTAAAACAAAAATAAATAAATAACCACCATGGGAGTCGATACCAAATAATTAATAACAATAAGCAATAATTTGAAAGTTAAAAATTTTTAAATTAAATTTACAGTTTGTATGATATGGTGGTTCATAACTTAAGAAAAATTTAGAAAACTATTATTAAACACAATAATAAATTTTAAAAATAGGATTTTAAATACAAATACATACCAATCATTTGCAGCAATCCGCCAATCATTAGCGGTATCTTAAGCCTAGGCCTCCGATCATAGGCCAGACATTCGGGAGTGCAGGGGTCGGTGCCATTCAATATACTACTGTTAGCCACACTAGTAAGCGACTCCAATAATGGCTTTGATATATGGGACTCACCGAGGCAATCATGCTCAAACACACCTGGACATATTTGTTCACCTAGCACAAAGTTTTGATCGAGCAATGGGCCCAATACAGTGCCCACACCGTATATAAACTGCGAGAACTGTAGTATAGAGGGACTCTTATTTTGCCACATCTCGATCAGTATGACATTATTAGCCCCATTCCAGGCACCGATACCTATACCGTAAATAAATATGCACGCATACAGGTGCCATAACTGAGTGGCCCACGGCTGGAATATAGTGCCGAACCCTTGCAATATGATTAGTATTGAGAGTACGATCTGTCGGTTCACGTATTTGAATGATATGGTAACTATAAAATGGGGATGGCATATTTGTGATTAGTTATTTATGTAGATTATAATATTTACTAAATGATCCAGCGAATACGCCAATGGACTGAAACATGGGAAACAGTCCGATCCACTCCATTTCCGTATGCAATAACAACCGGTAGTCCACGAATGCCGGTGACATACTCGATAGGGTGAGACCCTTGGTCAAATAATTATAATAATCAGATTCTTACTCAAGAAGTATACTAATAAATTTTTCATCAAGATGTTTAATAATAAATAAACAAAGTTCTTAGGAATATACAGAATATTCTGTAAAAATGTAAACTTACAAATAACAAATGTATGTAGTTATTAATAATNATTTTATTATGCCAAACAAAATCCCATACATTTACCTTTAATTTACATTTGATTTGATCCAGATATCTTTTGTAGTTTTTGAATAATAAATTTTAAACTTATTGCGTACCTTTTTGAACACCCGTTACTTAATTTTAGGATTTTCGGCACCTTTGTACCTTTATAGTTTTATTTTTATGATACATTAGTAACATATGGACTGCAATAGTTCGAGTTATTTAAATCAGTTACAATTTGCATAAAATGTTGCTGACTACCAATAAATAAAGACAATTGATCCAGGTAATCATCATAAGCGAATCGTCTCACTTGTCTCATACCATTCTCAGTACTCCGGTAATCCTGAAACATAGGTATGGGTCGACACTCCCGATTACAGTCGCCCACATCGGGCAGCCAATAGTCAAACGCCGTATAGTTTCCCGAATAAAAAGTCGGGAAATACTTTGACTGTATATCGCGGGGCAGTCGCCTAATAGCCGCCGGCACCGGTAGCTTAACGCCATCTATGATATTGAGCACATCCTCGACAATCTGGTCGCTTATGGAGCAAAACTCGCCAAATGTCATCCAGGTAGTCCATAGATTCTTTGTATCTTGATAATAGCTAACAGTATCTGTCCTGATATCGGACCGACGTACAAATCCCGTGTTCTGGTCTACCCTAATGAAGTCGTTGTATGATAGGGGTGTCAAAAAACTGGGCTGACCTAGTTGCACTTTCATGGCTACCACGTCGGTTAGAAAATTGTGGGACAGGTAGAATAATATGCTGTAAATATTATATACAAAAATAATTTATAGAAATATTTTTTTGCATGATGTATAATAACTATTATAAACATAAAGGTATGTTTTACTGAAATCATATAGTAATCAACCTAAAGTGCCTATATAGAAAAATAGTTACAACTGTAAAACATAATTAATAATGAACATTCTCATTTGTATTAATTTAGGCATAACAAATGTAACAATAAACAGGGTACATTACTCGTAGGGAGCAGTGGCGACGCTCATATCCCCGGCGTAACCACCGATACTTAAGTGTATCAAGAAATGAAAACCAATCAACTGAATGGCAAACCCTATAAAATTCATTCCGGTCTGCATGAATGAGGTATTGAGTTCAGGTGACTCCCAGGGTGATATATATTTATCTAGGTGCCACTGCCGTCTTACACACCGATTTATTGGCAACCCCTCATATAGGGGGCCATCCCTTACACAATAAGAGTTGTTATGATTACCCGCGTGACCAAGGTATTTAAATAATAGAGATTTCTCAGGGGTTGAGAAATCAACAGGGGCACCCTTTAAATATACAATAAAATACCATGTTATTATCTTAAACTAAATAAATCGTAAAGTTAAATAATCTAATAATTTAAACTCATATTTAAATCACTATTATGTTCAATATACTTTTTGAATTTATTAATATTTATTTATGATGATAATTAATATAAACTTTATAAATATAGTAGTAGCCTAAAAACTAATCATTAGATCTTATTAGAATATACCTAATAAATTGGATTAATTAAATATTAATATATCATTTTTAACTTAACTATTATATAATTAACTTAGCAATAAAATTCAATTTATAACATTTAATATAAATATAAACAAATCAAAATTTTAGAAATAGTTATGTCATACCCAATAGGGAAGGGTAACTGTGGGGTCGACTGCCATTAACTCCTTTTCCACTTCAAGACACAATTTTCTATGAAAGCTCACAAAGTCACCCGTTTTATGAATGGCCGACCAATAACCGTAGTGTATGTCCGCCAACCTATCCATCGCCCCATTAATGTATATCTTTTTGACGGCCTCAATGAACGTCTGTCGTTCCCCTTCGGTCATACACTTGAAGTCTTTGCGTAGATTTAGTTGATTACAAGGAGGGATGTCTGGTTTGATGGCATCCTCGGTGTAGTACTTGTTTTGAATCCATTGCCTAACTCTGTCCAACTCCTGGGCCGTGAAGTTAGTCCTATGGGTACAGCCATTGGATATGGTATCCGAGCACTGGCTGGTAGTCTGTCCTAAAAAATATTAATTTAAAACTAAAATAATAAAATAAGATATTAAAGCTAATACCAAATACTGATATAATAAGGCACATAATTGTTATTGTTTTTATTATTAAATTAAACATTGTTATAAGCACTGTATAAATAAAGATCTAGTTTATTATATTCTCAATTACAAACAAATTTATTATGTTGAAAATCCAAATTAAATGTACATTCATCCCAAATTGCAATTGTATCATCCTTAATTTGTGATAAAATTAATTTCTATTATAAAAATTATTTCGCAAACATTTCACTTCTGTTTTACCAAAAAACAAGTTTTTACAAAAAAAATAAAATTTATCAATAACTTATGAAACTCATTCAACATTATCTTAACAATGTTGTCATATAGTGCAAAAATCTCATTTCAAAACATATTTATATTGTTTATAATATAAATAAAATGTACATTCATCCTAAATTAAATTGCAATTTTATTGTCTTTAATTTGAAATTTGTGAAAATATAATTTATATTTTATAATAATTATTTAACAATTATTTTAAACAAAATACTAATTGCTATCAGAAAGGTTAAGGTAGCCGCAACAATTTTGTACTGTACCTCAAACATAATATAGTATCAAGAGTTCTGTAAACTAATTACAAATATACAAACTACTTATTATCATTGACATTTGTTTGAGAAAAAAGCATTTCAATATGAAAACTTAAATTAATTAAGGCGGCGTGCACAAAGTACGTACGCAAAATTTTGTTCAAAAATTGACCCCCCTCCCCCCTACACGCCAATCGTACATAGAAATTTAACATGGTGACATACGCTTTGGCATGACCCCCCCTCCCCCTACCAATGCGTATGTACTT